TGCAAAAAACGCAATTATGTCGAAAATGTCAATTATGCTACAATTGAAATGGGAATTGGGATATTAAAATTCAATGTATCCAGTTTGTAGATATTTTGTAGATAAATTGTAGATTATTTGTATTCTAATTGTAGATGCTTTGTTTTCTGTTTTCACAAATCCAAAACGACTAAAACTTCTACAAAATCTTCTGCAAAAAACAGTCTACAATTTATCTATAATTTTTCTACAATTTTTCTACAATTTATACACAACACATACTATTTCCCGTGTGTCAGACGCAAAATATGCAAGCATAAACTTGCAACAAACTAAACACCTTTCCGCAAGCTATTTGGCAAATGGACTATGACATTCTACATCTAGAGAACAATTGTTTCAGATAAAAAGGGAAGCACGATGAAGTAGCATAACATTTCCCCTTAAAATATATGGGATTAGTTGTCAAGGTATTCCAGAATAATTGTTGAAAGAAATGAAAGGAGATCTAAGCCAACTTTTCTAGATAAGGCCAAGGCACTAAAACAAAACACCAGATCCAAACATCACAGAGAACTTTCTTCAAACACTTTTTTTATAAGGTTCTTCAAACACGTTATATGCATAAGAGTTATCAACATAGGATTACTCAATTGCAAACTTCAAAAAAAAAACGTACATAAATATAGCATGGGCCCTACTATTTCGTACGTAACAAAATTGCAATTTTCATCTCTGTATTTTTTGAGAAGAAGAAGGAATGGAGAAGAGGAAGAAAGGGGAGGGGGGAAACGGGGCAGGTCTTAGGAATTAGGGGGATAGAGAAACGTGGGATATATGGACACCTTTAATTAAGGAGTAAAAACTGCCCATTAATTAGACCCTTAATTAAGTATGGTATAGGATTGGTAATTTGGTATACTAAGTGTAATTAAATCAAACCTTAAACATTGAGGGTAATAAGGTTTCCTATGTGGCATAGGAATGTAAAAATTCCATAAATTTAAAAAAGAAAGTAAGACTTTTGAAACTCATAATATTTGTGTGGCTATAAGACTTTTGAAATTTATAATTTTAAGTATATTATAATACGTATTTGATTATAAAAATTTTTTATTAAGAGTAAAATAGAAAATTTAAATTAAATTATTTTTAAATTTAAAAATAAATCAATTTTTTTTTAAACTGACTAAAATAAAATTAATTCATATAAATTGAAACGGATGGTGTAGTAATACATATTAACCCAGAACACGCGGGCATAAATGCAATAAGTGTAAAACTAAAGGGGCGCCATGCATACAAATTCATTTTAGCGCCATTTTCATCTCAATTTTTAAAACACAATACAATTTGTTAAAAAGGGCGGGTTAGGGCTTCGATCTCATTTTGGTATTTCGCATAGCAAATCTTCTTATTTTTGTCAAATCTCATATAAAGCAGTAATTTTTACATATAGTTTCTTTTTTCCCTAATTTCCGTACTACTTATTTATTGTTGAATTAACTAAACCAAAAAAGTTTTGATTTTTCGATTTATGCAAATTGTCGACTGAATTTGAACCCAATTTGTTGAAAAGTCGACTTTTTTTCATTGAAGATGGCAAATTATTATGACATTGATGATATATTAGCTGAAGAAGAGGTAATTTCCAGTTCTTGAATTTTCTTATGTTTTGTTTAAGTAAGAAAATTATTCTTTTAAGTTATTGGTGTAAAAATATTTGTGGGTATTGATAATCTTAATGGAATTCAGCTTGTTCCAGCTGTGTTCTTACAAACAGCTAATGAAGTTGGGATTTTTGATTGTGCTGATGAAACTAACAAGGTAAATTTTTTTTTTATGGTGAATCGGTTTTGTTTTCCGGATTTAAGTTATACACATTGGCCGTTTATTTTTTAAACCATCAGTGTAATTTAACATGTTATAGCAGTTAATTTACCATAAATTCGCGGTTGGCAATCAATGTTATGGAGTAACTATTAAATAATAGTTACTTGTACTTACCTTTTAAATGACCTTATTTTGTAAATAATTTTTTGCACCATTAGTGTAATTTAACATGTTATAGCAGGTAATTTACCATTTATTCTAGGTTACCAATCAATGCTAGTATTAAATAGATAGTTACCTTTATTTACCTTTTAAATAACCTACTTGTGTAAATAGTTTTTACACCGTCGGTGTATAGAACTTAAAACTCTTATTTTCCGGACCAAATTCTGATGTTTATTTCCCCCATTCAATTCCAGGTGGTAGCTGGTACACAAGTAGAAATGCCCTTTTGGCTTGCCCAGGAGCTATATGTGAGACAGGCCGTGTCGATCAAAGTTCCTCCATACTTTGATACCAAGTAAAGTTCTTAGTGTTTCTCATAATGGTTTCATGTTTACTTTTACTTGATACACCAGTGGAAGTAGTTAAGTATGCGAAGTGGCAGATATTGGAAGAGATTGGATATTAATGGACACTTGATCTTACCTTGTGCAGAGTTATCTTTAAAAATCAGTTAATAGATTGTAGATTGGTTGATCTCTTCAGACTGATGACAATCTGCTATTTAGACACTTGCATGTGCCGTCTAAAACATGATGTATCTCATATGATAATTCACACCAGTGCTTGTTTTATAGATCCAATTTCCAAGATTTGAAAATTTCTACCTATTTGTTTCTTATATGTTAATTTACCAGAGCCAAAACGAGGAACGAGATAGGAGCTGACGCAGCACATGTGGATCTGAGAAGTCTATGCCCCTACTTTTATAATTTTGGATGCAAGATAGCACGCCTGTGAGTTCTTCTTGTCTTTGTTCCTTTTTGCCTGCAACTGTTATGTTACCTTGCACCTGTTTCTTCTTTTGCAAAACCTCCCAAAACCCCAAGTAGGGGAAGCTGATGTAGATTGACTGATCTTAGATCGCAATAGTGGCAAAGTAATGTGAGAAATGATTGTGCTAATGTGAAAAAGGGGTTCTGAAGACATGCTAAATGGCCAAACTTCTATATGTGAACTAGGAGTGTACCAGAATGCTGCCACGGAAGAGATCTTTTAAGTGAAACTGATGTAGTTCATATTACTTTATGTGAAGCATGGCATCTTATCCTGAAACTCGTGCAGTTCATGGTACTTTATGTTAAGCACTCTACTTGACCATTAACAGAGTTGGTCTTTCGAACTCAGGTTCGGGTGTCCGATACGGGTATGGATCTAGAGGCCAGATCCTTCATGATCTAAATTTAAAGATTCGGGGGTTCGGATCCATGTACTGATACGGGTGCGGAGATTCGGCTAAAAATAGGGATACAGATGCGAAGATTCGGCTAAAGAAAAGATATTTGAATTATTTTTAGCCGAATCTCCGCCTCTGTATCCGTACATGGATCCAAACCCCCGAATCTTTAAATTTAGATTCAAATATCTATAAATAGAGTTATGAAAATAAGTCTTATTATGAGACATTATTTGGAAAACTTACAAGGTATTCCGAGAAGGAGAAAATATATATCAATAGGAGAATCCGAGAAAGACATGAAAGAAAAATGATTGACATAGAAATTCCTATATACAAGGTATTCCATTTTCTTCAATTTCACCTTATCTTTTGTTTTGATTTTAGAAATTATTGTATCTGTCCCGAATTTCTCTGTCGATTTTGGTCAAAGTACCCAAAATTGGTTGACCAGATCCGGTACGGATCCCATGCCCACACCGTGTCGATACGGGTGCGGCACCGAAAGTGAAGAGTCCGAGCAACCCTATAGTTGAGCCAAAGGACCGCCTGAAGAACTTATTATAATCCAAATAGTACCAAGGGGTAATACTTTTCACATTAGCTGAGTTATGGGAAGTGGTGATTGGTGGTGACTATAAAGGAAAAGATGCTATATTTAGAGCGTAAATGGACCTCAATGACTTTAAACAGCATCTCTTGGATGCTCTTACATCTCAATATGGTTTATCCCCCCCACCCCCCACCCCCACCCCCCAGGCGAGCTAATAGAAAACAACGGAAAGAAGGTTCGACCTTGCTATGCATATGTTCGCTGATGGAGCTCTCATTAGTCCTTACAACATATGGTGATACTCTCAGACAGGATGGCATTGTCCAAATGAATTCAAGAGTTTTTGGGTAGACTATGGATACAGAGTGGTTTTGTATTAGAAATTCTATGTGAATGAAGTGTTCCTGGTAAAAGTAGAAAAGGACATTTCTTAAGGTCAGGCACTTAAAACTTAGGAGTGTGCTTAATTTTATCCTTTGTAGCCATGGTCCTACTATAGGAGTATCAGTTACTGTTGTTCGTGATTCTTTAGCTTGAAAAAGCCGGAAACACCCAAAATATAATTGAGCAGCGTTGAAACGGGCCTCTTGTTTGGATACACTTGTGCAAAATCAGGACTTAATTATATGGAAGGGAAACCCAAAGCCCTTCTCTCCCCTGTTGGATTATGAGCTGTCTTTTGCAGAAATCATAAGCATCTCCAATTACTCAAAAAAAAAAATCATAAGCATCTCCATCCTGTGCCACAATCTGTATATGGTATGCAAGACCTTAGCTACTTTTAATTTGCTAGTAAACCAGTAGTTTTAACTATTCCCAATTCCTTTTTCTACATTAAATGATGTGGTTGGTAGGTATCTTTCCTCTTCAAATTCTAGTACTTTTGAGTGTATCTAGAAGTAGATTTGCAGATTGCAGCTCTTGTTGCCTAAAAGTTTGTTGTTTCTCCTGATTTTCTTTTCCTTCAAACCTAGATGCCAATTTGGTGTTTCTTCAGGTCGACATTACCTTATACTTTCTGTCTTTCTTATTGGACAGGATTGGTGAGAAGACCATTGGACCTCTACTTCTAGTTGCATTTCGAACAAGATACAGAGAAGTCCTCATCAAGGCTCATACTGCAACATCAATTGTGGTTCCCAAGCACTTGACTCTTCTGACAAAAGAAGAGACTAAATGTGAGAAAATTCTTAATAATCTATTGATTCTCAACCTCCCGCTCTTCCCCAAACTAAGAAAGAAAAAAGAAGAAGAAACGTCTTCTGAGTAGTGGCGTCTAGACAGTTTATATGAGAATCTCATACACGCTTTTTTGAAGTTCTAGAAAACAAAAATGTGATTGAATAGCTGTTTTAGAAGTCTATTCCCAAATTTATTTATTTTTTGGAAAATCGTCTCAGGTTACTTTTAGAGGCTAGAAGACTTTTGTTTTGTTAAAATTACTTCTTCTAAAAACACCACTGAACTAAACTTTAAAATGTTACTTTCAAAAAATATTTCTGGTGAAATACTAGTAAGATTCATTACTAATTTTCTGGTTTTTATTGATGGCGAAGTGTATGATGCTGGTCAGTCGTCAACAGCAGCATTTAAGAAGTGGCGAATGGGAGGTCCTAGAATGCAGAAAGCTTCTGTACTTGGGAGAAAGAGGAAGCCAGTGGAATGAGTTTTAATACTTGAAAAGATATGATCATTCCTTCTAAGACGTGAAGATGTAGTATCTATTTGGCTATTTTATGAAATTTACATCTCTTTTCAAGCGTATTGTAAAATGTTGATCTCAAGACTAGCTGATAAGGTTAAGATGGACATTTTTACGTTAAAATAGCACGGGCTAGCCAGTTTTCGGACTGGTCATTCAAAAATAGCCAGCGTTTGCAAAGTCATTGAAAAATAGCCACTATTTTGCTGCAACAGGGACCGGTCCAGCATAATATACTGGAGACCGGTGCACCTGTGTATGAACTTCTAGCATATTATGCTGGAACTCCAACACGCGGAAAGTTCCAGCATAATATACTAAAGATTGGAGTGCCTGTGTATGAACTTCCAGCATATTATACTGGACCAGTATATTATACTGGAACTTCAGTATATTATGCTGAATCTCCATTATAATATGCTGGAATTACATTATAATATACTGGAGTCCCAGTATACTTATGGTAGAACTCCAATATATTATGCTGGAGTATTTTCCGGATTTTGAATAGTGTTTTTGTTTAGATTTATCTTTACATGAAAAGTGGCTAAATTTTGATTACTTTTGAAGCTGTGGCTATTTTTGAATTTCTCCTCGTTTTTACTGCCTCAAACTTTGGTTTTCATTCATACATTTTCATTTTGCCCTCAAATGCATTCAAGAAAAAAGGAGCATTTCTTTTTCATTTTACTAACATAGAAGAAAGAAAACGATATGCAATGTTAGCTGCATTTAGCGGTGGCAAAATGGTTAAAAGAAAATAGTGAATCACCCATATTATCCACTAATATATGGGTTGGATAATGAGTTTTTTAAAAATGGGTCAAATATGGATAAGAGCCATATTATCCATTTAGAAAATGGATAACCAATGAATTTAACTTTTATATTTGTAAAGCCTCAAATTGGGGGTTCCTCAAGTTTGGGAGACTAGGAATTTTCCTAAAAGTGTTCAGAAAGTCATGGGTAATATGGTTACCCATATTATCCGTCGGTTAACTCGTTTTTTATCCGTATTAAATATGGGTTGGATCGGATAATTTATCCGTTTTTTCATGGGAAACTACCAGCTATGTCCTTTTAGAAGTAGCTTATTACTAAAATTGGCCAATTCATTAAATATTACTAATATTAGCCAAATGTTACCAATATTAGCCAATTAGCTATTTATATCAAAAAAAGGGTCAAATCTTTACTTTTTTTTGAGTGGGTGTTATTAGAATAGATTAGGTACATCTTAAGTAGTTTGAATCTCAGTTTGGGATGATTTGGTGGAGCTTTGAGGTGGTTTGAATTGAAGATTCGAAGTAAAAAGATGAAATATGAAAAAAAAATTGATATGTGTATCACACATACTGTGTATCAAATATGTATCACATATGTATCATATTTGTATCAATTGTGTCTCATATGTATATCCATGCATACCTCTATGTGTGATACGTGGGTGATACATGTGTCGCAGAATAATTTTTTGAACTCGATTTTAACTACGAATATTGATGCCAAATCAGTCCAAATCACCTCCAATCTTTCTCAAAATTTGTAATTAACCCATCTACATGTTTTTAATGAATTTCAACCACACCCATTGAAAAATAACCTTTTTTGCTTAGATTTTTGGAATCTTGGCTATATATTTTTTTGTATTTCATCACCTTGTTTGCTATTTCATCCATAAATTTTCTTTCTGTCTTGCATCTAATATTGTAATCACGCTTAAAAATATGGAAGGAGATCTTTGCGTGTGATTCTTAGGAGAAAGAACCTTATTTATTTGAGTTTTTAAAACTTATTTGGGACATTTATGTAAGATTCCCTTTTTTCATTACCCACCCAAACTATATTCGACCCGCACGTTTGCCACTCCTAGCTGCATTAAAGAGCAGAGTCTCCAGCCGACAATTATAAAAGGAAATGAATATAGATAACTTCACTTTTATAGAAGCTGGTCAGTCTTCACAAATGGGTCTCAGGCAACTCCCATATGTGGAAAAAATTGTCAGTCAAGTATGAAAATCGTAAGGTAATTTTTTCTCATTTGTCTAAATTTTGGTAAACAGAGTTACTTGATGCCCCTGCTAGCAGAAGTTTACAATACTCGATAAAATAATTTAGATGAACTCAAATACAACATTGTATTAGAAAACCGGTGGAAGTTCAAGTAACCAACCAACTGGACTGTCATTAATAGAACAAAGTTCTATTTAATTGGCCAATGAAGAACGATGTACCCGGTAAAAAAGGAAATAATAACACAATAGAATAGCATAGCTTATATTGAGAAAGAAATTGCCCCCATTAACATACAACACTAGAAAACAATTCTTACACGATTGCCAGTTTTGTACTGATACCATCTCAGTTGGCAAATAAGAGGGTATCTACTCGATTTACATGTACAGCTATTTTAGTAACACAAACAACACCCTTTCATATTATATTATATCTAACACGAAAGTTCTTCGGCCTTGAATATGAGCATACAGCTATATTACATGAGGCAAAAGGACGAACAAAAAAATTAGCAGGAAAACAGAATGAACAGCTATGTAGCAGCTTCCCCTTCTCTTTTCAGCAGCTCCTGGAAAACATAAAGGACAATCACAAAATAATTTAAAAAAATACTTCAACCTGCTCTAACTATATTTCAGCTTTTAATGTCATAATGCATAGGTAGAGCTTGTCAACTATTTGCTAAAGTTATTACAAGAGAGACAAGTTATTGCATACCAATTTAGTAGCAGCAATGGACAGTCGTTGCCTTTCCTTCTTCTCGTGCTGGCACTCTGCACACCAGCCGGAAAAGTCTTTCTGGTACTTCCTTAGCTCTCTAAAGACAGAACTGTAAGGGAAAGATAGCAACTGTTAGGTATTCAATGATTCTGGCAGATGAGAATAAAAGTAAGACATCCGAGTTATTGAGATCTGGTCTGATTGAGTTACAGCAAAGAAGTTCATATCTTTACATACAATTTTTATTGACAAGTGATACAAACTATTTAGTTGGAACACAAATATAGGAGCTATCCAAGTATAATGTTATGCACTTTTACCAACACCGGACCATCCCCTCTTGAAAAAGCAGTTACAATTAGATATTCCAAGCAAAGATTTTGCATCATATGAAGTGAAGCCTTGTATAAATCAGATTTTTCTTAGCATCTTAGCAATACCTCCAGCAATTTTAATCCTGATAAGTTTGAAGCCAAACATGAGCAAAACATGGTTCAAGGTTTAGGAATACCATGAAGCACACTGTCCATGTAAAACAGTTAGTGCAAAACGAATTTATCCTATATGCAGTTACCTATCATCACTGAAAAAGAAAATCAATAATATGTGCATCTCCAATTCTTGAGAAAAGCTTTTCCAGAAAGCACGATATGCATTCAGCTGTTTATCAAAACCTTTTTTTATTTTGTGAAAAAGGAGAATGAGTGATACCATAACCACCAGGTAATCAGGTATCCATAAAACATTTGACAAATCACGATAACTGGTAGATGTCTGTATGACCAACAACTATCAATGGAAAAAGTTGAGATCTAGATACAATGTAACCATTTAATCAACGTTTCTACAAACATGCTAAACTATGCTATTCCAAGTTAACTCATGCCATTTTCAGTTGCCAACTCAGCATGGCACATATATTTAGGTGCCTCAAGGAATATCAGCATCATGTTTTCATGATTATAAGACGGTATTCGCTCCTTTCCCCACCGTCACTTTACACTTCTTCTCCTCATATCATTGAAAGTTGATATACATAAACTACTTTCAGTACTTGAAACTGATGCCAGAAATAAAATGAAAAACATCCAAATATCTGCATCAAGGAGGACTATGTAGATGAAAAGGAGACCAAAGTTAAGCATCAATATTGCATACTTAAACAGAGGCGGACAAGGATTTAAACTTAGATGGGTTTGACCTTTAAGGTTCTTAGCTCTGAACTCATTGTTCTTCTAAAAAGTATGGGTTTAGATCTAATATTTGTTGAAATTTAAGAAGGGGAGCCTTAGAGCGACGAGAAAGTTGTCTTGGTGTGACCTATAGGTCACCGGTTCGAGCCGTGGAGCAGCCAATAATGCTTGCATTAGGGTAGGTTGTCTACATCACACCCCTTCCCCGGGTCCTATGTGAATGCGAGATGTTTTGTGTGCTGGGCTGCCCTTTTTTATTTGTTGATTAGCGGGTTTTCACATACCGCGGAAAAAATACTAGGTTCAGATGAACCAGTTGCCAGCTGCATCCACTGCTGTTCTCAAACAATTATGAAGCACAGCTTAAAACTTCAAACAGTAGGTAATGCAGCAGTAACAGGATATTCCAACAATAACAAATTTTCATGACTGTGTTTGAAGCAAATTGTCTAGTGGAAACGATCAAAATACAAGGCAACAGCATCTAATACCTTCTGCACCACAACAACAAGTTGATCCTCTGCCCCGATGTTGTTGCTCTAGCACCATGCCGATGGCGACCACGATGAAGCACTGCACGCCCCGTGACATGGGAGTAATCAAAGATCTCCTGTTAAATTATTCCAAATCCATAGTGAATGCTCTTGACATGCATAAGTTGTATTTTGAATTTGATGATTTCTACTCTAACACACAACTAACGTGGAGCTAACAACATTCTTTCTTCAGTATTTACACCATATGCAGACTTCGAGAATGAGCTGATAAACTTGGTAATAACACAGCATATATTCATCATCACTGATTACAAATGGAGAAACAAAGCAAGCAAATCTGCATTCAAAGTAAGGTGCCAATAAAAGGTACCGCCAGTTGGATGCCAGTATAAGCGAATAATGGAAAGTTGCTCCTCTTTAATTGGCTAATATGGAGAAGGAGCAGAAGAAATGTTTGAAGGGGTTGAGAGTCCAATGTGGAGAGTTAAATCTACATTTTGTTTCATTTGTACTACTGGTGTAAAGAAGACATGTCATATTCTTTATATAGTTGAATGTTTCCGGTTTTTCACCTGAAGCTTATCGTTCATTCACACTGTATGGTGGATATCAATGGAATCATTTTGACTTGTAAAAGTAAAAAGAGATAAGAGAAGTCCTCTGCCTTTTTCCGTTCCGGACCGTGATCAAGAAGATTGTCATGGATCCAGCTTTGAAACTCAGGTTTAACATTTATCAC